TAGTCAATGTTAGTCTTTACGATACACAAAACCAGCGAAGTCCCTTTGAGCATGAAGGACAGTGATGATCGCTTTGGACTGAAGGAAGTCTCGCTCCAGAACGTCCTCCATCAAACCTCATGCCCTTGGGCGGGAAAAACATTCTGAAACGACCATTTGTTTAAGAGTGTTTACTGCACCGAGGCCTTTGTGACCCGAGCAGCAAGTGGCCACTTTCCATTCGGTGCAAACAAAGAATGTGCTCGGCGCTGACCACGAGAACGGACACCGACGCGTTCATCCCGGCTCTGCTGAGGCTGGCCTTGGTGGTTCAGACTAATCATGGTGCAACATCAACCATACAGCAACGGAAACCATAAACGGGATTTTATTCCCGTCCTGTGTGACAGAAAAGGGCCGTCGATAGTCTTACAGCTTTGGGGTTCCTGTGAAGTGACAGAGACCAGCTTTTTTTTTTTTCCTATCATTCATGTGGCAAAATATGACTTCTGGCACCAAAGCCAGCTCTAAATTACACCTCGTCAAGCACAAATATGAGGCAGAGAGGAAACAGCTGTAGACAACAAACAGATTGTCAAAAGTCATTATACAACATAAAAGATCTGCATTGTAGCGCTCTGACTGAAAGACTCTGGCATCGAATTCTTCCTAAAGACCCTGAGGTTGTAGTGTTCCTTAAGAAGCGATCGATATCTGCTTTCTCTGCCACAGTCTGCTGTCATCATCAGGCCCTCTGGTGAAAACAAACTGATCAATGTGCTGGAGCCTGAGAAGGGAAACTGGATTTCTGTAGACATTAAAGAATCCGTGGACAACACTTACTCAATAGGCCGTCTGTGGACTGGATCCGGACCAAAATAGAATTTAATCTGGACTCGGAGCGAACTCGCCTCGCCCGCAATCAGTCAGCCGCACGGCAATCACTGCAGTTAGCAGGATTTTTGGTCGGATCGGACGTAGAAGCTTCAGTAAAAAAAGTAAAACGGCACGTTGAAAACAGGCCGAACACTGAGGTAAGAACCACAAAACTAAACCCACTGAAGCCGCCAGATCACGCTTCCAGCGAAATAATATAAAATCAGTGACACAGCGAGAACCGGTCAACGGAGGCCTGACTGGGAGCAGTCTGGGTTCTGAAGGAGGCAAACACAAGGAGCCTGTTTGCACACAGAATTAATAAGGATATGAGTGACGTGTCGGAGGCAAGCGAAGGGAGGCAAT